GCGCATGCGTAGTAGGTAAAAAAATTGCGACTGAATGGAAAATTGCTTTCTCGGAAATATGCCTGTTTCTTGAGAACCCCTCAATAGAATTTCACGAAATTTGGCCCGAAAATACTTTAGGAAATAAGTAACTGAGGTATTGAAAAAAATTGATTTTAAACAAAGGAAATTCTAGAACATCGACTGAACCTTCAACAAGGGATAATCGAAGATCTCTCTGTTAAAATGTTAGCAAAATGGTGTAGACTTGTGAGTATCGTTATAAGCTTGTTGCATGCAAGTTATAAAGAAAATCTAATGACTAGATTTTCTACAAATAAACAAAACCGACAATTTTTTCGAAGAAAGACTCACCAAAGCAGGAAGATTTTTTTAAGTGAAAAAAAATTTAGGGGTCAGGTGCACTTTAACATGGATATCTTGTAGAAAATCCCATACAAATCCTTATAAATCGATATGCAAGCTTGGACCGCCTGTGATGATACGTGACCGCGTATCTTGATGCCGACACGTTCGAGCGTCCTAGGTTATCGATGACGTAAAGTTCGTGAGTTTGTCACGAAGAAATCAGGCCCAGATTTACGTCTTCAAAAAGGGGATTGCATCATGAAACTCAGAATGACTATTCTGCTTTATGGAAACAATATGGTTGACTTGTCATCGATGTCCTCTTAAACTGTCTTTGAGACGATGTTTAATTTACGAATCGCGTGGATAAGCGAAATTGAATTTTGAAAGCCACTGATGTTTATTTTATGAATCACGTGGATGAGCGAAATTGAATTTTGAAAGCCATTGTGGTTATTCGCCTCCAACCATTTCCAGCCCTTTTGTTGCAACACAATGAAGACATTGAAAAAAAGCGCGTATTGTCTAAAAAGTTTTTACGTTGAGTCCCGTCAGGTTTATGTTTAGCTCTTGCATCAATCCTACCCCCTCAAGAGTGACTAGCTTCTAATTTCTTTTTACAACATCACCTCCGAAGCACACAATAGGGTCAGGAGAAGAAAGGAAACAATCACTAACTAAAGAAGCTATTGCTTGTTAAACAAATTCTCCTTGTCAGCACCTTAGGAAATGTATAGAGAACAGTGTGGAGAATATGCATAGTGATGTTAGGGTGTAAAGGGCTAACTTGGGCTTCGTTACAAATAACATAAATCCCTCAGACACAACCTTAATTTGGAGTTCTCCGACCCACTAGAGAATGTTTCAATTAGATCCTTCATAAATAGCGCTATCTACTGCGAAGGATCGTGCATCATACGTATTTAATACCGCAGTTCAAAATATATGAACTTCATATATTCATTGTATCTGATTTATCATCACAGGTTTATTACGAATCAACTTAACGGCCTGCTCCCAGTTGGCTTGTTAGCGCTGCACTAGTATCGCAGAGGTCAGTGGTTCCAATCCCGTACAGGCCTGATTTATTTCAGATCTGATTTTCGCTATTGCATAAATAGCACTATCTACTACGAGGGATCGTGCATCATACGTAGATCCTCCTATAGCCTCCAGATAGGAGAAACAAGATCATACGACGCTTGTCAAGCGTATTAGTTTTATTTAAAGATGAGAGTGGAACTTTCCCATTCATTGACGTTTTTTGCAGATATCCCTAACTGTTAACCTTATTGCATAAAAATTGTGATACGAGTCCTCTACGGTTTGAATCCCGTCGAAGCCTGAAATTTTTCAGGCTTCTATTCTATAATTGTTATAATCATAGCGCACCTGCAAGATCAGTATGATTTACATGTCAAGTTACCGTAGACATCTTGTTAAAGGATCTCAAAGCCTACAACTCTTTAAAAACAATACAGACTAATCTTTCGTCTTAACACTCAAAAAACGCTTTGAAAAGGACTCACGATCACGAAAAGCATGACAAGAATTTACAAGCTTTGGCATCCTAGCGTTTCACTCTAATCACTGAGAGTTTTATCGGCTGAGCTTAATTGCTGACAAAAAAAAAATATTCAAAACTAAATAAAGCGAATAAAAAATTTATTGGTCAGAGGAAAAACAGTCTGAAGTTGAACTTTCGTAGAGAAATATTCACGACCATGAGCGGAGAGCTATGCCCGTAGGCATACATTATCAGCTAAAAAAATGCGTCACTAAGGGAAACTTTTGTGGAGTTAAAGATGCTAATTAGAACGCTTGTTTGAAATTTCTTTGTACTTCAACCTTAAAGTTCAATTGTCTCGCTGCTGTTGCCTAACTAAAGATGATAAACGATGAATTCAAAACTCTATAATCATCTGTAATATAAAGCTGTATATAAAACTAGGAAGGAAGAATCAAATCAGGAATCAAGAATCAAATTTTCGTCAGAGAGTTGTAACACCTGAAAGTGATACCCTCTTGGGATAAAACTGTTGGACGAAGTATCCCCTTACTGGCAACCGACGGTTTATTTTCGGTACAATTCGCGCAAATTCAGTTAAAATTTCTCCCAATGTGCAAGAAAGTTCTCCGAGCGAAGAACTTTCTTGCACAACTTTCATAATTAATTTTATTTGAGTGTATAGTCAGTAATTTATATATTATTCCTGAAAAGCCCCATTGGGGAGGCGACAGTAAAGTATGTATGTATGTAAGAATACTAGTTCTCCAAGTTTAGAGTGAGATCCGATTATGCAATACCAAACTTGGGTTTAAATTTTGAATCGAAAATGTTTTCCCACGAAATACTTTTGAGTTTCTGCCACCATTTGTGAACAGGTCTTTATGTTTTTTTTTTTTTATCCACAGCGATATGAAAAACGACCACTTTGGACCCGCGAAGCAACAGATATACATTTAAAGCTGGAAATGTAGATAGGGGAATTCCTATGATCTCAGGCGCAATTTTTAATTGGAAAGTTGGTCTTACCTTCGCCGAAATTGCCTTTCTGGCATTTCTAGACGCTTTCAACTTGAAAATATGTCGTTGATGTCAGAAGATTATGTTTGTTTATTTGTAGCGTGTCGGCATATCTCATTGCTCCGACGCAGGCGGTGTTGAGGTAAAAACTTTTGACTTTTGCGCCAATTATTATCTACGTGACGACTTTGGAACTGGAATTCGATATCTTTCTGTTTTGAATTTTCATACCAGGGGAGGTACTTCATTATATCTTACTAGTTATATCGCTTCCATTTTTTTTATTGCAATTAGAGCAGTCGTTGATGTAGACCGCTTCAATCGTCTTCGCAGCTGTTTAAGGAGACAGCTGTAACTCGTTACGCATGCGCACTCATTTTCACCACTAATGTGAGAAAAGCAATTACGAGGTGTTTATTACAAATGTAACTGACAGCATATTAGCTCAACACACAGAGCATGTAAACCTTCATTCTGTGAAACTCAAGAATAAGTGAAAAATGTATTTTCATTTTGTGTCGATAAAAGCAAATTTCAACTTTTTCATTTTCTCTTTGGTAAGTACAGAAGACTCGGACTTTTCTGATGATGTGAGTCCGGGTCTCAATGAGTCGCTGTCTGTCTATTGATAAGTATTGTGGTATGCGTCTACAGTGAAGCACTGACTGACTCTTCTCTCACCTGCTGATTTTTGTTTTTGCAGTTAGTGAAATTTTCACTCACTTATGAAAACCAGGTCAATCATCTTTATAATTCATCCGGTAAGTTGAATTTTTTTCATCTCTCTATTAATAGATCAGAAGGATGGCTAAAGAAAATATTTTTGGAGGCACTTGTAGAGAAAACAAATTTTGCACCCTCAGTAGGTGGCTAAAAATATTTGAAGTTACGACATGAAACGAAATAAACGAGAAGACTCTTGCTGCTCTTGCACTCTCTAAACATCCAATCTCGTCATGATCTGGTAATGGACTTTTAACAGCACGAATCAAGTGTTTTGCGACATTGTTAAAGGGCTATAAAGCAAAGCAAGCCTCACGAAAATTTGGAAAAACAAATCCCCCGCCCCTCGGTGGAGAAATCTTTGACTGAAGCTCAGAATAAGTTCTATAAAAAATATTTCTAGAAAACTATGCAGTTTCGTAATTTTTCCTCAAAGTGGTTCACAAGCAGTGCGCTCGGCGAGATAAGATTTAGTTCGACTTTTTAGTAGCAAGTGTTTACTTTTGCGTTTCCACAAATCGATTACACGTCTGTACTTGAGACTGTTATGACTGCAAACAGGTTTGCATATGCCATCGAAATTCATCCATTTTCCGTGGCATTAATTCATTGAAGTCATTGGTGCAAGCTTCCCACAGTCCACCCAGGTTAGATTTCAGTTTTCCGGTCTACCAAGAAGAACCGAAATTTTTTATGGTTCTCCTGGATTCAGGAGAACCATAGCTGATTCAGTAAGCTTTGTAACAAGGAAACTCACTCAGCAATTTTTAGTATCACCGAAATGCAATCTGGGACAACTAGTTTGGGTATTCACATTCGCACTAACAAATAGATACTCCGGTTTGGACGTATAATGCTTGAGAACTTTTAGTGCATAAATTTGGCCAAATGTACGACGGCAATTTGAAAGATTAGAGGTTCGAATCCTAAGTCATATTGCGCTTAATCTATTAGACGGACGATCGATTTTCGAGACAACAAAAGGCAATTAAAAAACTGTGAACTCGAGCCACTCCGAATAATTTTCAAGATAGGCGCGGCTGTCGGATGAACCGTCCACGATCAGTTAAGGATTATTAGAAATGCAATCTGTTTTTGAGCACGGTTTATATCCATTCCCCAGTAGTAAAGATAAAAGGGATTTTTTTTAACTTCGGCCAGCGGAAAAATTTCCGCTATACGTGATCATTAAAACAAGCGCTTCGCGTTGCGTAATCATAGACTCATTTTCTGTTTGTGAAACACGCGGAGCGCTTGTTTAATTAATGATCATGTCAAGTTTCCCGACGACAAGTTAAACAAAAAGAAATAGATCTCTTTTCTTTTTAAGTGTGGCACAGATACAATATCGAAAATTTAACAAAAGCCAAAAGAAGACACAAGTAAAATGCATATTTTCCGAAAAGAACCTACCGAAAACTTTTAAGTCAATCCAATAGCCCATTTCCTCTTTTTCAAAACGATGCCTGGTGTTCAACCATTCTTGTGAAAATGAGTTTATTTGCATATGAATGAAAACTTCTAATCATATGAAAGAATGAGCACCAGGACTCGTTTTGAAAATGAGGCTAAGGATAACTTGGAAATGGGCTATTATTTTCACCTCAGAAATGAGACCTTAACAATATTCAAATTTATAAAAAAAATTCTAATTGTGGAACAAACATACAAACGTCGAACTTAATATTTATTTCAAATTGTAAAGGACGTTTTGTCTCTTTGATGGGCGAAATGAAAAGTTGTAATTTTTGTGTTGATGAAAACTTGTTTTAAAAACCTCTTTTATTTCTCATTTAGTAGTCTAAAATTTTCAGCCAATCACCCCTATGGAGAAACATGGCGTATTGACGCAACAAGTATTCTCTCAACATAACATTTGGGTTCTTTTATATGAGTAATTTTCAAGTGACAAAGATATTTTGTGGTACAGAGGAACTCTTCTATAAAATCATAGATACGTTTATATAAAATACGCTCCAGTATTTAAAAGATGAATTTGTCCGAGGACTACTCCAGCCTATGAAAATGATGCAACATTTATAAGCCACATTAGATGTAATTTAAAAGACAAAAAATGTTTTAAAAGCTTTTAGCTTTGGACCAATAGTTATTTTTGTCAAAGCATGGCTTTATAGAGGCTAGTTTAAAATTCTGCTTACTCGTAGAAAAAGATTATCAAGATTAGTGATATTTTCGAATAGCTTTAGTTTCTGTCTTAGTAGCAGCTTTTTGAACTGAATTTTCTATTTCGGTGAAATGCACTTCTTGGATGTTAATCGAAGAGTTGTTCCGTACAGACGGCTTGAAAAAACTTTGTCTTTCCTATTCTCATCTTCGATTAATCTAAATGATTAACGATTTATAAACTTCGCACAAACTTTCGGTTGTGTTGCTGAATGCAACACTTATTTAGTGCAATGTAGCCTCATTTTCCCCGCAGCTGCCCCAGCGGCAAAACGCGCAAGATTCAAACATGCGAGAGGGCTGTGAGGGGTCTGGCACGAAAACCAGATCGTGTCATACTCCACGCAGAACTCTCGTATATCGAAAGGTTACTTCACCGCTAGGGTGCGCGACGCCAATTGGAGCATGGTCGTGAGCTACGTTCATTTTCGATTGACGCTTAAATTCACGACGAGTTCTTTAAAATCACAGCAACTCGATTTCAGTCTGTCTGCTTAAGCAGACAGACATATATCCTTATGTAGAGACATATAACCTTGTAGTTTCTATGCTTCTGATTACACAGAATAACCGAAATAGTTCTATTAAGAGGCGATAACATATTAATTTGCGGATTTTTCCTAACAAGTCTAAGATAAACGTCTATGGAAATTTTGATAAAAATCCTTCGAAGGAGCCAAATATGTAAATGACATACTGATATTATTCCGTTTTCTTTACCGCACAACCTCTGGTATTGATTAATAGTTTAACCAAGCCACTATCATTTCATTGAACCATCGACTGATTCCTTTGCTGTGATACACATCGCGCATTTCTCAAAAGACAATTAAAGACATTTTCTTACTATTTTGAATGTTTAAGCCCTTAAATCAATCTAATACCAACAATACCTCGTTCTCAAAAGAAATTCTCTCGAAGAACGGCAACAAGTTGGAGACCAAGGTCTATCGTAAACCTACAAACACGGCCTTACTACTCCATTTTCAAAGCCACGTCGATTTACGCTATAAGAATTGTCTTGTTAAAACAATGGTTCATCGTGCAAGGGAATCGTCCTCTGCGCATGAAGCATTTGTCGATGAATGTAAACATCTACAATCTATGTTTACTCACCTTGGATACCCAAGTTTGTTAGTGAATGGCATCATTGATGAATGTGATTATTCCCCAATGCAAGAAACTAAGGTGAAACCTGTTACTGATAAAACTTTGAGAGCCAGCATCCCGTTTAAAGATCAAACCTCAGCGAACTCAGTTAGAAGGCAGATGTGGGATCTCAGTTCTAAAATTGGCATTGATGTACGACCAGTATTCAGCAGCAAGAAACTCGAGCATGTTCTTAAGCTTAAAGAAATCAAGCCACCTATCGTAAACCAACACTACGTTATTTATTGTTATAAATGTGATTTGTGCGATTCAAATTATGTCGGAAATACGACACGCCATCTATTTCAACGCATTGCTGATCATTGATATTCTGCCATTGGTCGTTATCTGAAAGATGCTCACGGGAACGTTAACTTACTCAATGAGAGCCAATTTCGGGTGCTTAAAAAATGCAGCACGAAATGGGATTGCCTGGTCAACGAAATGTTGCACGTAAAAACAATAAGACCTAATTTAAACACCCAGAGCGACTCCATTAAGACTAAGCTCTTTGTTTGACTTTCAATGACTCTTAATTTATTCATTTTCTCATCTATATATATCTTAATAATTTGGATATATCAAAAAAGTTGAAATGGTAGATTGGCCACCGTAACGATTACAAAACCTGACGTTTCGAGCGTTAGCCCTTCGTCGGAGCGAATAGAGGAATTGTGGGTTTTGTGTGCTTTTAAAGTCCGAAAATGGAGCTACGTTATTGGTGGGAACATGGCAACGAGAAAAACACGAATAAATTAGTGGAATGAAACGCTAGACATTTTAATTTACCTAACATTCTAAGCAACATATGGCAATCTGCGGTCTTTCCTTACACTTAGGTAGCACGGAAAGCCGTAAAACTCTTGAACAAAAGCTCATCTTTCAAACCGGCAGTCTAAATCCCACAGGGATCAACAAACGCTTTTCATTCCACTAATTTATTCGTGTTTTTCTCGTTGCCATGTTCCCACCAANACAGCCGGCTTTCAAAAAAGTTATTCACACAATTGAAGACAGGGGCGACGAGGAGGAGGACGAGGATGAAATTCTAACAATCAGTACCATCGAGGTTAACAACATAGATGACACGCGACACTCGATACACGAAACACGCGATGAAGCTTTCGCAACACTTGAGATAATTCAATTGTCAACCAGCCGAAAAGAAGCGGAATATGAATCCCCAGTTCAAGGTAGACACAGGTGCACAGAGCAATGTCTCAACTATCAGGCTACTTTGCATAATTGTCCCAGAGAAGTTTGACAACGAAGGAAACCCTAAACCAAAAGCACTGGAAAAGAATGAAGCCGTCGTTTCAGCATATGGTGGCTCTATAATCAAGCAACTTGGCACTATAAATATCCCTTGTAGGTACAAAGAAAAAAAGATCAACTGCATTTTCTATGTCGCAGACACTTCAGGACCAGCTATTCTCGGCCTAAAAGCGTGCAATGCACTGAAACTAGTCTCCTTATATTGTACAATAAGGACAAATCAATTAGACCGCCAGGCTGATCAATCTAGTAGCTTCAAGGTGGGTACTTGCAAAGAAAGCTCGAACTACATCGGAAGTCATGTACCACTGGAGGAGCGGCCATCAATCACAAGTAAACAAGAGCTGATGGAGATGTATCCAGAATGTTTCAATGGCACAGTGGGAAGTTTTGGCGACTATACTTATCACATCACACTAGATCCTGAGGT